GTAGACAGTTCGCGAATACGAATCGCAAGTTGACGGCGCAGTACACCGAGCTTTCTTCATTGAGAACACGATGAATAAGCAAATTTTTGCTAGACTGCACAAGCAAGCTGAGAATATCGATGAAACGGAAATGTGCCGAAAGCGGAGCTCTATGGTGAAGGCCGTGTCGACAATCTTGGATCAGCGAAATTACTCCGTAAATGGCAAATTTCGTGGAGAATACGGATAAGGAGGACCTCGATTAACATGTTTCACAAGATAGGTGACAACAGGTGTACGTATCAAAGGAAACCCGATAGATGGCACGAGGTCAAAAGCCATACACCGCAGGGTCGTCACAAATCAAACTCCTGGTCAGATCTTTAAAACTCGTGCAATAAAGCAACCGAAATTCTCGACCGGAGGCTTATTCGTCCACCGTTTCAGAAAAAAAGACTTCCTTGCAGGGTATACGCTGAGTTCATTTTCGTCGGGGAAGAGTGTTGTGAGGTGCTACCGTTGGTGGTCTCTTTCAACGGTCAAAAAAATGAAAAGACTTCGACTTATTATACTGTGTGCTTGCGAAACCTTGGTGATTCGGATCTACGAGATCACGCCTGCCCTGGAGCAGCGCGGTACAGTTTCCGGACATTGGTAGTCAATCGACCTTGAGCGCTGATGCCAGTAGCACGTGCATAGCCTCCAGATACACGTCATTGGTGGGCCGTTCCAGCCAATCAGATACAATACAGAGAAGAGCAATATGACGCAAGATGTGATGCAATATTATTGGTGGGAACTAAGGCAGCCAATGATCTTTTCTTGTGTACATATATATTCACCTTCATTTCCTCCAATAAACGACTTTGTGATTCGCCTGTCTTGTGGCCTTTTTCCTCGCGTCTCGATCCTGCGGGTTATTGCGAGTTCGATCCATTGCGGTTCCGTGCCATCGGTTCTCGAATTCGTGTTCCGTGATTCCTATTGCGTGGTTGGTGTTCCGAATTCCGTGCGTATTACTACTACTACTACAAATATTACAGAAATATCTTGTTTTATGTACACCAAATTATCCATAGACTAATTCTGGTTTGTAATAAACAACTCTCTTCAAAGGAAGCTTGTTTTTTTAAGTACATCAGTACGAGTAACACGAGCACCTCTCACTAAGCCGTGAACAACAATACGGGAGAGAGAGAACAAGACCAGAGAACAGTAATCAGTGTATTCTATAATCATGATGCGATACTTGAATATAAGTGAGCAAACTGGTCCTACGGGAACAAGGTTGAAACTAACCGGTATTGACGGCCTGCGACCATGATTGTATTAAGAAAATATGAACGGGAAACGTCCTCGTGGATTGCTCCTTTTCTTCGTACAATCATGGTCACTACAAGGTGGTGAAGCACCAATCCGATCTTTTCCTTATCTCTCCGATTGCCAGATTAGACGGCAGATGTCTGATTCGTCTTAGTCATCAAACCCAATCAGTGATTTCCTTTCTTCGATTGTCTGACAAATAATCCTGTTAGTTTCATGCAGCGTAACACTTGTGATTTGAGATTTGACAGATTTATTTTTCTTTTCGTTCTTTTCATTTCTTTTCATTTTATTTCCTTTTATGGAACATACAAAGATACAATTTCCAGGAAGGGGAAAACGGCCAATCAAATAGCTGCCTTTAAACACAATTGGAGAGGTTTTGTAGTTGTTAGTTAAATGACTATAAAAGTCATCTTGATTGTTGTATACATGTGTACAGATGAGGCGAAATGACCATGTTTACATTTTGCAAACCTATACTTTCCCACCTCTTTAAATGGGCAAATGGAGATCGTCAAAGAAGTAAAGCGTTGAATTTTGTTAACAGCCAAGGCATCCAACATTCTTCCCTACACACACACACACACACACACACACACACACACACACACTATTTTATGCCCAGGAACACTTTGTCAAGACACTACCATTCCAAATTCATATGAAACGGTTGTAATACCACGTGAATTCAACCAATTGTATTCTACTCCGAACCTTAAAAAGTGATTTTTACTTTGCCCGTCTCACATCACCAATTAGATCAGGTTTGTGAAAACCCCGTTATTAGGAATGAACTGATTTCTCCATAAATAAACTAGTATGAGCTACTAATGACACTTATGAGGAAATTGCACAACCCAAGAAGCGGTTGTCGGGTTTCCACTGAATTCGCGAGTGGATCAAAGCATTAACCTTTGCCAATACAGAAAACGTGCACCAACTATCGGATCGTTCTATTAATTATCTTGCATGCTTCTGGCAATTATGATGACCTGTTCCAAAACAGATGTTTTCTTGCATGTACGCTAATTCATCGACACCTTTAATATTGTTCCTAATGAACAACTCTCTTCGTTCCGGCACTGCCTTGTAGATTTATAACAATTGGCGCTATCTCTTCATCTGTGGGTTTGTCCAAAATTGCCTTAACCTCTTACGACGACTCATGTTCGCGAGTCTGCACAGCCGCAACTTTCTGATTGTCGAACTTGTAGTAGTGAAAGTAGGTACGGGTTTGCTGTATTGACAAAAGTTATTACTTTAATCCCCTCACGAATTCCGTGGAAAACCAATAAGCACTTCTTGGTACGTGCGAACTACTTACGCTTTTGAACACTGCCCCACACAAAAGTAGTAATGTGACTCGCTGATGCGTTGCATACATGAATCTGCGAACACACGTTTTGTCTCAGCTTTGAACGGTTCTCGGTAGATCTCATACCGCCGTGTGGTTGGTGGATGCGGACTGGAACTCAAGTCTCTCCTTAAATATTCCGTTACCGTTGTGAACCATCTCGACCACCACGGATATTATAAACGGTTGGTCATTGTGTTCCACAATGTTTCTATTTTTAAGTATTAGTCACATGTCCCCAGTCCTACGAAAAAAACTCCTCAGTTAATGCACCAATGGTTGATAATCAGTACGATTTTAACATGTTTACGCGAATCAGAACTGAGCTTCAATAAGCAACGTAATTCATCATTTTATTGATTGACATGTGATTTCATCACAATTCACTGAGTAGAACTACGACAGCCATCAATGACAAATTTACATTCGAAGCAATGAAACCCCACTATTGCTGAATACAATTATTGTCCTGCGATGTAAGTCTCATCTACATCTTCTGGTTAGTATTTTTAAATATTTCCCCTTTATTTCTGTCGTCAGTGTACAAGCACACTAATTATGAATAACCGCACATGATCTGCGCTGATTGAGCAAGTGAAAAATCAAGCAGTGAATTAGCCAGTTTGCTTGTTTACTTCATCAAATGCCCACATGGCCGGTCCGCAGGCCAATGATTAAGCAAGGGCGTCAACGCACAACCAGGCAGGAAGGCAGGCCCACTACCAATTTTCGTGCAATCAGGCCGCGGTCAGTTAGACCAGTCAGACTAGCAAAAAATGGATAAAGCCCGACATATCGGCAATGAAGTTCTGATTGACTGAGCTGGATCGATAGTATGACAGAGTAAGTCCGCGTGACGTGCACACGCGTACTGGCGAGCGTAGTGATAACAGCATTGGTCAATTAATCGGACCGTAGACCAGTGCGGTAAACATGTCAGTCGCTTGTGCGCCACAAGTATTTGGTGTCCATAGGGCTCCGCCGCGTACAGGAGCAATTCCACAGGGGAACATTTTTCGGGATTCATTACTTAATTTGCATAGCTCATATGCACTCCAACGAGTAGCTCTTGGTAATTGCAATTGAATTTCCAAGCCCCAAATTGGGCATTACAAAATAGCAGGTATGACGTTCGCCTATCCATTTCAGTAGCGGGTGATCGGATGTGGTTTTCCTCATTTTAATATCAAATCAAGCAAGAAGGACAAAAAGGACAAAATACTAATTTTTTTTCTATGAACCAAATATAAATATATATATATATCTTGATAGTTGATTAATGTATTACAGCAGTTGTAACCTTACGGTTTATACCACAGCAGCCACTACCACGGTAGATTCGGAAATAACCCTGTAAATAAAAGATGTACAAAAATGAGATTGGAATCACACATGATCTCCAAAAGTTATTTTACAAGGGGTCAGTTTTGCACACGCCCGTTTACATTTCTACGAATCCGATGTCAGCAGTAGTCGTCTTGCTTGTATTTAAACCCGGGTAAAGTATTTTTACCACCTACAACCCAGAAGTTATTCTGTCTCTCTATCAGTAATACAATGTTCCCAAAACTGGATGATTCTCATTGCAATACACCAATGATTGAAAATGTAATGACAACATAACAGTGCTATTGCAATTTTTTTTTTCAAGCATCCGACATACACTTACGCACGTACTTCGAAAGCTTACCACATGGGACAGAAAATCACTCGTTCGGTTCAAACTGTGATAACCGATATTGTACTAGTATATCCCAACGGTCGTTATTGAAATCACACATAGTACTCTCCTCAATAGCTACTCAACAACTACTACTCACCTCTTCACCCCAGTCCAGTCCCCAACTGTTCTTTACGATCCAGTAGGGTTTCTTATCTTCAATTCCGTAGCCAACACCAAGAACTGCGTGATTTATTCCGGTTGCGGTGCACATGAATGAGAACGGGTGCAGGATTCCTTTAGTATAATACTGGAACGGAAAAGTCGTCAATTCTTCAGCGTCCGCCCCGGTGGTTTTCCGGTCGTATAAAATAACTTCTTTGGCGAAAACGTAAATTACTCACCCTTTTTTGAAATACCTTCATTTTGATTTCAAGCCTGACAGTTGATGTATGACAAATAACTTTGCTTAATGAATAATCCAATGTTCGTTCAATATTTGAGAAAGAATCCTCTTGCTGCTTGTGACATTTGTGAATGTATAATCGTTTTCTTGCTACTATTGACTGTTGTCAGTAGTCAAACTCTTTTCGGACAATCCTGCTTTCCTATTGGTTGACTATAATTCGTCTTTGTCTGTCTTTTGTTCAAATTGTTGTTTTCTGTTTTTGTCTTGGCGGCCGGCCATCTTCGTTTACTTACTGTTTTGCTCTGATCATCACTCATCGGTGCTTTTTACTGGACTAATTATCGAACTACTTCGAATGTATGCTTCTCTTCGATTTTAAGCTTGTTGTTTACCATACCGTATGCTAACATATTGTTTTATCATTGCAGAACCACCAAAGACAAGAATCCGAGACGTTCCGACTATCTTCTGATATGGATATTGACCTCGGGGTGCATTTATTCGATCAACGACTTGCTAAGTATCATACATACGAATCGCGTAACAACACTGCTCCTGTAATCAACGTTATTTTCGGTAAACATATCAAATGGTTCAATTTGAATGTGTACCCAGATATTTCCGGGGGCTTACCTGAAGCCTGTTTGCGTTTAGTGCCATGCTCAGCGGTCCGTGCTCCGCCATGTACGCCGCAATCTGTGCCTCGTCCTGACTCACTCTCATTGACGTATTCACATAAGCAACAAACTTGTCCTTGTTTAACATGCACTTTTGGTAATGACCCACATACGGATAGTCGATCTCCCGTTCGACACCGCCCATTTTTGCTAGCATTTCGTATGCTATCAATGGCCAACCACCACTGCAACCATAGTCACTTCTGTCACAGTCTACCAGTTGCTAGAATAATAGAACGAGCACAGGGAAATTATTTAGAAGCATTGAGACGATTCGAACAAAGGGATCAGTGAACAATCAGGTGCAGGCGTATTATGTGCTCATCGCTGCCACCAGATCATTCTTTGTGATATAATGCACAGATTCGTTTCACCTATCCTCCTGTCATTAGTACAGTCGAACACATCTGGAACAGTTTGAATAAACACTACCCGAGAATCGATTTAAAGGCTTTTTCAACACCGTAAATTTAATACTCGGATGTGAATGGTCGAGTTTTCTAAGCACTACTTGTGCTTGTGCACTATCATTCAGTACAACAAATGTGTCATCCACGTAATGGTCGTAGAAGTGTGTTCTTTATGTAATGTCGCAGTTTCGTATTTCACAAACCGACTTGGGCTGGACAGATTATTAATTTCAGAAGTTTCTTTCCGATGCAGTACAAACAATCGTTAGTGCGCAGTTTGATCTCTAGAGCTCCAGTAGAACATTTGAGTCCGATTTTCGCTGGACATCCACGGCACTGCACGAAAATGGATATCCTAAAACTGTCATTACAACGTATCGAGCATCGTTGAATCAACGAGAAGAGAGTGACAACGCCTCGCTAAAAGCTGTCTTTGTCACCATACCGTTTAAAGGTGATCAAAATGATAATCGGATACAGTGCAGATTGAGACAAGTGATTGATATAATACTGCACGACACGCAGCGAATACTTATTAAGTCTAATCTAGACAAACCCGACTCTGCAGTTACCTCCTCCTGTGTTTATCTATTTCAATCTGCTTCCGGTAGTAAGTACGTCGGATGAACTGAGAGATGACTGTCTACCAGGATATCAGAGCACGCGCAGAAAAATTTGGCGTCTAACGGGTCCAATCTTCCGTCCAGTTCAATCGCCCAACGTATATTGGATTGTAAAGACTGTGACAAATCTAAGGACGCCTTTCAAACCTTGATCCGTCAGAAGGGTAGCCGTCTACTACAGTTCGCTGAAGCTGCTGCCATTCCACGTTACAAGCCCGATTTATGTAAATAGACCGAAGTGGTGGCCAGCCCTGGTAGGTGTCACGGTGCTCCGTCTCCTCTATCCATTACACTTGCAGTGATTACGCTCCCTGCCCTAATGCCCAATCCGTTTCGAATTAGTGACCTTTGGCCATCGCATTCATTGATTTCCCTTCCCCGTCATTGTTCCGTTATCCTAAAACAGGCCCCTCTTAACCAAACGTGATCTGAATGTATGTATGCAGCTGATGAGAGTTCCACGAAATGGCTGAATTCAACACATCCTGTGATTATGATGCTTCTTCTTGCTCTCATGAGCAAGAAGTACATATCCCCCTCCCATAACCCCAAGACATTACATTATATTTCCAAGAAGTTAGACTTACGGTATATCGAGACAAAACTGCTCAGAGAGATGGAAGTTAAACGCGGCGCCTTGGTCTGCAACTATCAGCATTATTATGGTGGTAAACGATGTAAAAACCAAACAGCAGTTAAAGACAAAGCGAATGGATACAAATGGAACTCAAATGATGAGACCACACATAGTACGTACCTGTTCGCTCATCTTCAAAAGCTCTCCAGTTTTCAGGAACCACTGACCTTCCACATTCCCGATCGCAGAGAACGCCCAGCATGAACCACAATGTCCTTGTTCCTGTACCGGAGTCACCGCACCTTTCGCGCGCCAATCCAGACTTTCAGGTGGCACTTTATCACTTGTCACGACGTCAACATTAGCCACACTCAGTTGCTGCCTCATTTCTGGGTTCAAGTATTCACGTTCGAACTCCTCAGCTGGATTGTGTGAAAGATAAATTATTGTGAATATAGATTGTTTCGGGATTTCGTAAACCGTTTGAAGGGAAGAGAAACCAACATGAAAATCCGAGACCCTATGCGATCCGCTACCCGACTCGACAACTCACCTGTCAGATCGGAAAACTTTGTGATACCGTATTCCGCTGTCCCTTGATCCATCGCTTCATACCACTTCGCTTTCTTCAAATTATCCTTGAACACGGTAAAACGATACTCATCGACTGTAGTGTGTTCAATTTCAATCACCATTGGAACAAAGGTGACTAACCATCATTCGCATGATTCTTCCCATATTTCACTTTGAATTCTTCGTACAACTCTCGCACATTCTCCGGTTCCTTGTAGTCGAATTGCTGAAATCGGACAAAACAGAATTGGCCCATTCACTTTGTCTTGATACATCGCTTGTGATTGAATAAATCATTGAATAAATCAGCCCCATTAGTAGTGGACAAAACTCCAGCGGTTCTGATGACCTACCTCAAGATGCTGCAATTCGATCGCAGACGCTAGCGCGATCAACAACGAGTTAGCGATGATCACTACTGAGCGCATGCTGACGACTCAATGTTGATCATCTCGAGGCCAATTTTATACTCACCAGATGTGCAATACTTTACAAACAGTTCGATTGAATAACACAGGATCGGCTCAAAGTTCAAGTGAATACGTGCAATGTTCTCTGAAATGCTGACTGCACCTGGTGCCCATTATTAGCACAGAGTCTCAATAGAAGTGCAATATTGTAGATCCGCGTTTGATGTGACTAGGTTCGAAGATTATTACCTTTAATCGTGAAGCGAATGGATTTGGTGCGTGGATACTAAATGAGCCTTACGTTGATCAATATGCCAAATAACCGTGCAATGCATGTGTTTTGACGCGACCCGACTCACGCGGTCTACAATTTAGTTGTTCTTGATGATCACTGCGAACAGCTATGCAGAATAATTATTTTCTAAGCTTTTCAGTTCATTTTCTGGTGGATTTGGACCTTATTGCTAGCGGTTCAATGTACTTTTTCGTTACCGCATTATGATCTTGAAAAATTTTGTACAATGTATCTAACTTAGAAACGGTAAACCATGGATCAAATCTTTGGCAATAAACATTTCTCTAAATTCCTCATTGACTAAACACTTTGCGCAATGTTTGCATATTGCTGTTCGCAACCTCATTTAACCACCAGCCGCTTTCATATGTAGTATCACTTCTGTACGCTCCACAGATATTGGACGGCAATCAGTAGAAGGAATAACAAATGCAATCAAGTCAGGGAATCATACTGGTATTCCTTCATTTGCCAATATATATGCCGACATAGAGATTCTGGAGGATAGCTGCAGAAGTAGCGGTTCATTTATTCAATGAACTAATGGGATTCATCTGTGAAAAAAGCCATCATTGGCTGTACGGGCATCATCCAATCATTGTGCATAACCCATTCAACACAGAATTTATGTTTGAGCCGCACGTCTTCTGGTTGGTTGGATCAGACTTTGAACCTCGTATTCTTTGCTCTGAAACTGTAACGTCTACCTCGTTGGCTGGCGTTATCTTTGAGAGAATTGTTCACTGACCTGCCACGCTTTCATTTGACCGATTCACGATGAATAAAATTGTGTCACCTGAAACGAAAAATAAAATGATTTTCTTTATTCCTCATATTTTTGCAAAATGTGTTGTTGAATCGAAAATAATACAGCGTTAGTGAAAATTGAACTCCGGCCCTTATCCGCCCGCATCGGATTGCACGTGACTAACCGGCCCTGCTATCGACGATCCACGTGTTGACAGGCTCAGTGTTTTATTGATCGATATGAGTCTTCTTTCGACCTTACAAATCGTTGTGAAGAAATTGTTGTCAACCCGCTCCAGTTCTTCCATACCACAGATGAACAGATATAAAAAACAGGGCAGCCAATACCTTTTACACAAAATTGAATCCAGCAAGTGAAACAAGACGCAGTAAATTATCGTAAACATTCTCTCAAATTGTTAGCTGTCAACCGTGTATCCCTGCGGTAGCGATTGCTTCTTCCAACAAGAAGATTCGTGGATCCAGGCCCATCTGAAACAGAACATTAACACACACACACCACTGATGTGTCCCCAGATGGAAGAAACAGCCGTTCAGTGCAATTCGTAGGCCTTCATCGTTTTTTTCACATTCATGCAGCCTCTAAATGGGTAAAGGCCAATGTTGAATTCGTTTAATTACCATCCAGCAGTTGGGGTTTGAATGTAATCGAAAAGTATACCCTGTATCAGAAACAGGGATGTTAGCTACCTCCATTCGCTAAGGTGCGGTGTGTATTAGAGGAAACTGGCAAATGCCATTTGACAAACGATTTGTTAAACTCCATGTAAAAATGAAGGCCTCTAGTTCTCAAAAATAAAAAGGGTAAATAAAAAAGCATCTAAAAATGACAGAAAACTAGCTTTAACATGTTCATTAGTCATTGTCAATTTTTTACTAAGGCTTTGTAATTTTAGAACTGACGTACCCCAAATAGTTGTCAAAATCGAGAAATTGTCCATTTCAATGGCACTCGATTAATGGAAGCAAAACCATAAGTTTATATTATTACAGATTTGTTGCGTCTAATGTGATGCAATATCACATTCAACCGTGTGAACAAGTCTCGAAACACTGCGCGTTGGGAGGAACAAATATGTTGAAAGTGTCAGGGTGTTGCACGAGTTTCATCAATACCTGTATACAGCCCCCAGAGCACGTTTCAAACAAAACAACAGATTTCATTTGATTTTATTTTCCCATAACAATTTTATCCCCAAGTAGTGATATACAGTGAGATGTATTGGCATGAATACGAAAATGATTTTTTGGCACATCTGGAAGAAAAAGGAACTAATATTCTGGGGCGCGCTATCCTGTACGAAAGATACGTTGACGACACCCTGGTTATAACAGAGAGCTTAGAAGAAGCTATGATAATTATGGATGAACTCAACGGACTACATCCAAATATACACCTCACAATGGAATATAAATCGAACAACACACTCAATTTCCTTGACATTAGTATGACCAGAAGATAATTCGGAACAATTGTTCCATCCGATTATCGAAAGGAAACCTGGACAGGCCAATATTTACAGTTCGTGAGCTTTATGCCCCTGGAGTATAAACGTGGTCTTGTTCGGACCTTATTTGACAGAACGAGGCGAATTTGCACGGAAGACAGAATTTAACAAGAACTGCAAAACCTCCGGGAGTTTTTATCAAAAAACGCTTACCCCGAAGCGTTTGTTAATAAGCATAGCAAACCGAAAATTGCGAAAGAACCGATTGCGTCAGTTCCCAAATTGAGGGTCACATTACACCTTCAATTCAAAGGTGATGACGTAAGCCGCCTGCTCTACAAACGACTGAGGTCAGCAATCGCTCGAGCCTACTACGCAGCCTACCTCCAAATCGTCTACCGAACAATCAAGATACCCACACCCCCGGCAAAAGAATGTCTGCCTCTGTACGCCAACTCTAATCTAATCTCCCAGTTCCAATGTGATTGCTGAGCTATCTACGTGGGCCGAGCAGAGTGACAATTACGCAATCGGGTGGTGGAACACATTCGGAATAGGGTCCAAAATCTGCTGACCCAATTGAGGTCAAGTCCGCAGCATAGAAACGACGGTCGAAACTAAAAGACACCGACCTCGGCAATTGCTCGACATCTGCTGATGACGCAACACCAGATCGACCTAGGCACAGCGTCTCAAATTGTCTACAAGTCACGAGTCGCAAGATTGCTAAGGTTTGCCGAAGCGATTGCTATTACTCGATGGAAAACCCCCTCTGTGTCAGCAAAAAGAACTTTACGTTGGTCTCTCCCTACCCTGGTGATATTGGTCCTTTTACCCCTCCCTCTTTTATGTTTTGTCTGTTTTTAATGTATTTCGCTTTACTTTGTTATTATGCTAAAGCCCGATATAAACATTGTATTTTCTGCAGTATGCACCATGTTGAAATGCAGCGAAATCGTCTTGGACATAAATTGTGCAGTATTGCCATATGGTCTTTTCTTTTGAAAACCAGTTTGTTCGCCAATCTGTTGATTTGTTTCATCTGTGTATACAATGCATGTCACATATGGGACATTAAGCGGTGCCCCTGCACTGGAATTCAATGGGCTGAAAGTGGTGATCCTAGCCTACAGGGTAACGTCAGGCACAGTGCGACGCGTTACAACCTCTTGCCAACGAACCACAAGCCAATCGCACCGACCAATCAGAAGCCGTGAGGGTCAAACGGAAGCTGTGACGTCAAGAGTGAAAGCAGGCCAACGGCGAAGGCCGGTTTAACCAATAGAATTCATTTTGACGTGTTTTTTATCTCATTAATTTTCCTCAACAAACTAACCGCTGCTTCTCGGAGACGATGGATGCCAGTTTACGATTTGCTAGTTTGATTCCTAGCTTCATTTACTACCGTGATTCGTGATTCAGGATTCGTCCCTATTCCGGCTAATACGCTAACACAAAAACTTTACCTCATTCAGAAAAATATCTAGCTTGTCTATTGAGCTATAAAATTCTTTTATGAAGCGGTATATCGTTAACTGTTGGGACTCCATAGAAATAATGTGACCGGGCAACGTCGTACCTACTTTAACTCTGGCCCGTATACTTAGCGCTCACAAAATTGATTGTTTCTTTTTGAAGAGATCGAAGGACATTCGCTCCAGCATATTCGGTCTTAATAGTCTACAGAAACAGGTGGGATACTGTTACAATTGGGCGTCGCGCGATGGAGCTTCCAACTATTGAACGACTAAACATGCATGTCAGTCAATCCGCGATCGACGAATGGGTAAAACGGTACTTTGGTGCAGCATTCGCAAAGGTGGCGCACAGAAACAGTTAGCCGTATTTCTCACTACTGGTGGCCGTGACCTTTAATCCCTGCTGAAAAACCTGGCGTTTCCTGAGGCTCTGGCTAAACTATTGCACGAATGCCTGAAGACGTTGCTGCTCAACCACCTGCTGCCTACTGAATTCCAGCACATGCACGGGCGAAACTCAACTCTTTGGTTCAAGCCGAGAATGCCATCTGCCGGGATTTCATCCTCCAGCTGAACAAGCAGACATCGCGCTGCAATTATGGTGATCGGTTGGAGGAGCAACTATGTGACCCCTTAGTAGCTGGCATAAACAATTTGACACCTCAACGGAATTTGCTAGAGAAGAAGGATCTAGCGTTGACAGAGGCGCGAAAGATCTGTGAACAAGATGATTATCTGATAAAAGTGACTTCCAGCGAAGCAATCACTCTATTCCAACGCCAGAAACAGAGACCAAACCGACCTCCAATGGCCAAACACACATCAAAGCTACAACGTGACCCTTCCGGCAACGACAGACATATCAACCCTTGTCTGCCATGTGAAGCTTATCGCGTGCGTTACAATTTTCGATTCCGTAATGCCAAGTGTCATGCGTACGGCAAAATTGGTCACATCCGGAGAGTTTACAAACGACCCTGATGCAACGTAGCATAGCCATCAGCCGAACAAGAAACCACTCCTGTGCTC